AATTAAATAGAATTAATATAGAATAATAATAAATTGCTTTTAAAAAAATTAACCAATAAAAATTCATTGATAGTTATTTGAAATTTTGGAATGATCTACGTTTTTGATGAGTATAGATGACCTGCACCATATATAGACATTCAGTACTGTACTCTTTTGCATTCCTGTACTGTATGGTCTACAAAAATAGAAATTTTTTTAAAAAAGTCATACACCAACATACAGTACACAGAACTCCCATCAATCAAATGGATTCTATACTCGTAACATTTAATACAGAAATGCTGATTTGTGGATCGTTCTCATTATAATTTACTAATTTTTGCATTGTTATTTTCAATTATTTTACTAGAAACTTATAATTTTTGATTTTTCTCTTTTATGTCTTCTGCTTGATTTTTGCTTCACTTTTCACCAACTGCTACAACTTCCTTAACTTGTTCCTGTTCTATTTTTACTCTTTCTTCTAACTTTCTACCTCTGTTTCCAATTTCTCTTGTTCTGCTTCTAATGCCTTAATTTTCTCTGTGTGTTTTTGATTTAGCTTAGATACTTTATCAAAATTTTCCTTAGTTTTAAAAGTTAATTCACTCCAACTACTAATTAATTCATCCAGAGAAAGATGTCAAAGGTCATAATAATCATAACAACTTAGTTTGATTGAATCACATCCTTCATAACCTTTTTCTAAGATTTCTTTTAGGGTTAAATTATCTTCTATTTTGCCTTCTCTTAAATAACTCTTTGCTTTCCTCAGAATTTAATTTGATAAGGTTAATAAAGATATTTCTTTTAGCATTATCTCTTGGTAAAGTTTCATTGTTTGCTTATAATAAGAAAGATAACTATAAGCATTAAAAATTACTCTTCTACAAGCTACTTCAGTAGGAAATATCATACAAAAATCAGACCAAGTTTCTCCATAGTTATGAATTTTCTCAATAACCTCACCAACTACATCTACATCAGGATTGTCAGTAATATGATTTTCGCTTAAAACAGTAGCTATTCATTGTCTAATTTCTTCATTATTCAACTAGGGATGGGGCGGTTTAAAAAAACCCCAGTTCGAACTCGGTTTTTGAACCGGTTTTTGGTTTAGGTTCGGTTCGGTTTTTGAACCGGTTCGAATCGGTTTTTTTGTGAAACTAAAATCTCTATGTTTATTGGTCAGGTTATTATATCACGTGAAAATGTAATACAAAATATTTATTTATTTTATTTTTAAAAAAAAAATACATAAAAATAAAAACGTGAAGATGAGTAATTTTAAAATGATACATATATATTAATGTATGTATAACTTCTACACCTAATCTAGTTTTTTTTTTTGTTATCCAGCTTTTTAAACATAAACATGCTCTTGCAGTTTCTGGCAACAAACGATTCCGCCATTATTATTATTACTATTATACAAACAATTTAAAAGGATTTATTTTTTCGAGTTGAGACAAATGGAAGCAACACAATTAAAATAACTATTGCTATTACTATGTTGCATTCAATTCGCCTCTTCTCCAAACAACTTATTTTGTTTGTTTTTTTTTCAAATTGATTATCATTTTAAAAGCAACACACCATTATTTTTTCAAATTGATTATCATTTTAAAACAACACACCATTATTATTATACAAACAATTTAAAATGATTTTTTTTCGAATTGAGACTTGTGGAAATAACACAATTAATAATAACTACTGCTCACATTCAATTCGCCTCTTCTCCGAATAACTTATTTTTTTTTTTTTTTCAAATTGATTATTGTTTTAAAGCAACACACCATTATTATTATACAAACAATTTAAAATGATTTTTTTTCAAATTAAGACATGTGGAAATAACACAATTAATAATAACTACTGCTCGCATTCAATTCGCCTCTTCTCCAAACAACTTATTTTGTTGGTTTTTTTTTTCAAATTGATTATCATTTTAATGCGCAATACAAAACAAACTACTTATTAAAGATGAGCAGCAATATTACTATTATACAATTTAAAATGATTTATTTTTCGAATTGAGAAATGTGGAAGCAACACAATCAAAATAACTACTTCTATTACTATGTTGCATTCAATTTGATTCTTCTCCAAACAACTTATTTTGTTTTTTTTTCCATTTTAAGCAACATATCATTACAGTACCTGGACAAAAGTATCGGACCCCCTAAATATATTAATTACGCAAAAACGTACATAATAAGTATACAGAAA